GAAGCTGAGAGTGGAGTCGATCTGGGTTGAGATGCGATGGGTGCAGCCCTGAGTGGTTGCAGCGAAGCTGATGGACTTCTTGTGAGGAAGTGGCTTGTTTGGGTTGGTCGACCAGGCTCTCGGATCTTGCGGTGGAGTTAGCCTGGCTGTACTGGGAATGGAGAGTGAGTAGTTGGGTTGGCTGAGCGCGGGCGGAGAGGGGGGAGCCTTTGAGGACGGAGGGACCTCTGAACTCCTCCTCCTCGCCTCGGAGTCTCTTTCCGAAGACGAGTCTGAAGTGGTCGAGCGGCTCGGCTTGGTGGGCGTCCTCGGAACAGTACTCGTCCGATTCCGAGGAGGAGTGGTTCGTGTAGACCACCGAGCCGGTCGTCAGCCGTCCTGCTCTCTGATTTCCGACATGGGAGATCCGGAAGTGTCTTCTGGTGGGCAAGGGTATGAAGGGTGCATCGACGACCGATTGCGGGGGCTGGTAGTTCGCCGGTAGCTGGCGTCGGGGCTGACGGCGACGTCGATGGGAGTGCTTGGCCGAGGAGTTCCTTGAGCCGTGGCCGAGTGCACGGGGGAATAGGTTGTTTGTTGAGAGGATGGGTATGACCAGGAAGGCTAAAAAAGAGGAAATTGTGGTGAGTGAATTTGTCTGTCTGTCTGAGTGTCAGTGGGATGGAAGTATTGATGTACCTAGTAGGAGTAATGCAAACTTGAGCAAGTGGATCGGATGGAAGCCCAGCTCGAGGGAGCTAGCCGAGTAGACAGCGGCAGGATCGGAGATAGGGAGCTGATCGAAGTTGATGGTCGTGGTGGGCAGCTCGTTATTGTTGTTGTTGTTGTTGTTGGTATTGCTGATCTGGTTGAAGTTAAGAGGTTGCGACATGTCTTGAGATGGTAATGGTATTGTTTTGTTGTAGGTTGAGACAAGTTTCGAGGCGGGGAAGGGAGGACTAGTAGGAGCAGAGAAGTCAGAACAAGGGGAGGAATACAGGGTGGGGCAGCTGGAGAACAGCCCTCGGGCTTGGAAACAAGGGCTGTGCCATGAGTATGCTGGGCGGGCCAAACAGCCACAGCAGACCCGATGGGGTCCAATACATCATCATCGGCTGTACATCTCGGCATCGGCTCACTACTCACTAGGCAAGCGACCATCCAGTGTCAACACCGACCTCAGCACTCGACATCACAATATCAGCACTGCAGCCCCCGACATGCTCACTCGACCAGCCCCAGAACCAGTCTACCTCTTCAGGCCAACCCACCAAGAACTAAGCACTACCAACAACCGAGCCATCAACCATCTCAACTTCATCTCACTCAAACAACACCAACATCTAGCACTCCTCACAGCCGATAACCATGGCTGGATCTCAATCTGGAACCTCGACTCAAAACGAACCCAATCACTATGGCACCCTCACCCGCACACCCAGTCCATCGGCGGCTGTCTCTCGGCCTGGCCCCTAACCACTCACTCAGACCAATCATCATCACTCTTCATCCTCTCGTCAGTCTAATAATACATTTGGGCACTCAGAGAGAGAAAGAAAAAACAACTGATTTATCACTCAGACAGGGAAGAGACCACCAACTGATCCTCAATCAGATCCTCAACTATACCAAGACCTGCTCCATCTCAACAATCACTAGAGCCAACCTCAAGCCAACCCATAGCAATCCCTCCACTAATGTCTCCATCGTCGCACAGACCCCGATCAATGCTATCAACTTCTGCAAAGCTAGCTCGCTCCCCTTGCATCATTCTCCCTTGGCGGTCTCCCAAAATATTCATTCAATCGTCGCCCTCCCTAGTCTCATCTCTGAAGAATTCGTTCGTTCTGACCTCAAACTCTTTTTTCAATCACATGTTCCTCTTAACCCCTCCAAAAAACTAAAGAACAGAGCACTGATTTCTTATTTGCCACTACACCATTTGTCTAGGTCGATATCTTTGCAATCCGAATCGTTGATCCTCCCAAAATTATCAAGATTTGTGAAGCACTTGGACGTGAAAAGGATCAAGGAAGAAATAAGACTCAGACAGGTGCAATATAAAAACTTGTCTTGATGAATAAAACACGTCAGACTAAAGCTTTTTTTTCTCCTTGAAAAAACATTACTTAGGTTCTGTTGTAGCAGTTCAATTATACTCGCCTCCGGGGACCAAAGGATTGATACTAATGATGATTGGATACGAGAGCGGAGAAGCACGAATCCTAAAGAACGAGTCATTAATTGATCCAGGTTTCCAATCCAGCAGCAGTAGTAAAGAAGAAGAAGAACGTATGATGGATGGCGTGGATTGGGAAGAGGTGGGCCGATTCCAAGGGCATACCGAGCCAATTCTCTCCTTGACGATCTCCATTGACCCGCTCGATCGACTGGCCGGGATTGGATGGAGCGTTGGTGCAGACAGGAAGATTGTCCGGTACGAGCTCACAGCGATTGCATCCGATCCCCCGGCCCATTGCCCCCACACAGTATGTCTTCGCTCAGCCAAGCACTCTCTGAGAGACTGACGGTGTCCTGTCTGCATAGAACATCTCCCAGAACGGGGGCCAGTATCAAATGTCAATGAACCCAATGGTCTTCGAGACCAACCAGCCCGGCCGGTTTGATGTCCAAGTACGTTCGGATGGCAAGGTCCTGGGGATATACACCTGGGGAGGGAAGCTATGGTTATTTGATACGACGGCCATCGAGCCTGACCAAGCGGAGCCCCCAAAGATCACGGGTTCCCGACGGGACAAGGCTTGCGCCGTTGAATCCGCCCGACCATTCACACTGCGTCCCCTCCTTGTCCTCAAGCTGCCCACCGAGCCTGAACATCGTAGCGGTGTCCTTGCTTTTGCTCCCTTCCCTCCCCCTCCCCCTCCTCTTCTTGCCCCCTCTTCTCCCCCCGCCTCTCCTCCTCGGACTCTCCCTAATCGACTGGACTCCTTGGCCGGATTGGCTCTGCTCGTCGCCTCCGCACCTGCCGGTCAAATCATCGCCTGGGAAGTCTTTCCGCCTCCCCCACTCCCTCAGAGTCGTGCTTATATGTCCCGTTCCAAGCAGTCTGAAGCCACTATCGATCCCTCGAAAGAAAACGCAGACTCGATCTAGCAAGTCCAGGGAATGTTCAATTGAGGGGGAGTAGAGTGACTGCTCCATACAATCTCACGGTTGACGAATTATAACCGATAAAAAAAAGTAGAATAGAGTAATTTTGGAGGATGGACTAAATCTGACTAGTAGGGCAGGAATCTTGTCGAGCAATTTGAGGGTGGACAAGGGTATCAAGGATGGGGATCAATGGGAGGAATCATACTTGGAACTTCGATCCTGCTGTAGCACTCGAAATCTTTCCAACTTCAATAGAGGAAAAAAATTGACCTCTGGCAATCGGAATTTTTCCGGTTCTAGGAGGAAGGGCGAGTGGCCCATAACATGCTTATGATGATACCTCTTGTTTCACAGACCGCTCACTAGTCTTGTCCCTCTGAAACGAGGTCCTTGAACTCACGCTAGCGCCAAACACCTGCCTGATGGCGCCGACCGGAGGGAAGGTGCCGGAGTGACGGCGTCGTCTCCCAAGTGTTCGCCGGACGCGTCTTCATGTTCTAGTGGGTGTTTTTTTTTTTTTTTTCAGAAACGTCGGTTCCTCCCGACTCTCGGCACGTCTTTGTAGCATGAATATGCAGCATGCCTCCGTGGTCTTCGGAGTTGCAGCCCCGGGAGCCAAGCGAGGAGGGTGATGAGAGCTCGACCGATTGGGATTAGATTGTAAGATGGAGGAATGGACCATCCGATTTTGAAACCCGTTCTACATGGGACTACTAGTCTTACATAGGTAGTCCACGCTAGGTCTAGCATGACACCTTTTCCATGAGCTTCTGCGTTGCAGCCCCCATTCTAGTTGCAACCGCTTTCGGAGCGTCGCGGACGGCGTCCAACCCACCTTTCTGAGACTCGGGACTTCAATTTTCAGCAGTTGATGATGACATGGGCTATTTAAGTGAAGGAGCTCTCCGCCCACTTTGCCTCCCCCATCAGCCAATCACCCCCTCCTCACACGCAATAGGACTCCGACAAACAAGCATCTTGTTCTGCGTGAGTCGTTAAGATTGAGTGATTCCAACCCAAGATTTCCAATTGGTTCACTGATCCTGATCCCCCCCCCTCCTTCTAGACACACTAGTAGATAAATAAATAAAGATCGATCGCAAGATGAAGGTTACTGGGATTTGGTTCATGCCGCTACTCTTTCACGGATTGATGGCCGTAAACACACATCTAGATCTCTCGGAATTTTCCAAGGCAGCTAGTCCATTCCCAAGCGATAACCCGACATTCCAAAGTGTTGCCTATAGGAAAAATGACGATTACCAACGTTCCACATGGAGCCAACTGATCTACAACGATGCCTGGCAGAACACCTGGTCCAGAGATATTGAGATCAGCATTTCAACCCATGCCGTCCAAAACGAGCCGGCCGCAAATCGAATTAAGGTTTGGAATGCTGGGGAGTTGGAGGTGGAGTACTGCTTGAAGCATCTTCCGAGTGGTCGATGGACACCTGTCAGGAAGCTTGAACATCGGGAGCGCGTTTACCTCGAGCCTGGAATCCAGCAGGTCGAGCTCCACCTCCGACAAATCCGCTACCGCACTACGCCTCGACAACCTAGATCATAAGCTTCCGCCTCCAACATCGTTGATCTCCTCAAGTATTTTGCTCCGCCATTCTTCTTCTTTTTCTTTTTCTGCTTCCTGCGCCTGCCCAATCTGCTTGGCTTGTTCATAGTTGAATAGTTTATGTACATAGAGCATTTTGAAAAAAAAATTAGAGAGAATTCATAGAAAATCATTTTCTAGATAGCCACTTTGCCTGATCCACTCTTGAGTGAATAGGTGGTTTGGATTCGGAGAGAGCGCTGGCTCAGTTGGAGTTTCAGGGTGGTGGTTTATACGGAGACTGGGCAGATTGATTGAGATGATGAGCAGGATAAGCCAGCGAAGGGTTCCAAGATGAGGGTGATCAAGTCTCCGTCAGGTTGGAGGCTGGCGCTGGTTGGTTGTTCATGCGCCGGCAATCAGTCCGCTGGAGCATCTTTACTGATGAACAACTATGTATAGACACTGGCCGCACAGGCTCCTCAACCTCCACCACTCCCACCACCCGAATCTCCGCCCACAGCCCCATCGACTCCGGCACTCGATCGACAGATCTCCCAGGATTCCGAACCACAAGCATCTCAGTCTGAGTCTGAATAGTCTGAGTAGTCTGAGTACTAGGCTGACTCTGACCATCCAGCTCATAACCATCAACACCCACAGCCTATCACTCTCATCCTCACTCTCACCCTTCACTCGAAGCTGTGAGTCTGGCTTAATCATCATCATCATCATCATCATCCTAACTGATATTCCCCCCTTGAAACCACCGATCACACCGAGAATCCAGACACAACCTGTCCCGTCCTCCCTCCACAGATCATGACCAAACCTACTAAGAACCCATGGGACCCTAAGGCAACACCTTATCCCCCCGTTCGCAGGGATCCAGACTCATCGGAGGTCTTCCAGAGTAAGCAGAATGGCTCGGTCACCGTCCCAGATCCCTTACAGTTGGCTACACGAGCCACCCAAGCAGAGCAAAGACACTCAGGTGCGCCCCGTCAAAACCAAAAAAAAAACATGACTTATTCTGATCTCCTTCCTATTTCAGCAATTTGTCACCAGTCAACAGGCCTTGACCAAGGATTACCTAAGCAAATACCCTCATCGAGACTCACTTCATGCGGCAGTCACAAAGACTTGGGACTATGCTCGATTCAGTTGTCCATCGCTGAAGCCGGATGGATACTACTATTTCAGCTTCAACTCTGGCCTCCAGGCCCAGTCGATCATCTATCGGGTCAAGAAGGGGCAGGAAGAGGATGCACTCAAGCGGGCCACCGACCCCAAACAGCCCGCAGGCGAGCTCTTCCTCGATCCCAACCTGTTCTCCATCGATGGCACTACCGCACTCTCATTCTCCGCCACATCCGAGTCAGGCATCTATATGGCGTACGGTGTCTCCCGCTCTGGAAGCGACAGTCAGACTATCTACGTCCGTCGCACCGACTCTCCCCACACAAAGTCTGCCGCCGATGGTGGCAAGAGGGGCGAGGACCCTGGCCGGATGGAGGACACAGTCGAGAAGGTTAAATTCAGTAGCCTCAGTTGGATGAAAGACGATTCTGGTCAGTCCAAAAAATCAAAAAAAAAAAAAAAATTCCTTCATCAGAGCCCGGTGGGGGACAATCGATCGATCTCCTGCTTGCTGACTGAATTGTGATCGAACGATTATCAGGTTTCTTTTATTCAAGATTCCCTGACGAACAGGCCAAAGCTGAGAAGCCCTCCGGGCCCGGGGCGGATGTTCAAGGAGAAGTAGAGATTGATGCCGGGACAGATACTAAGGCTGATCTCAATCACATGGTAAGCATTCATTCCGTGAGCTCTGCAGTGACTTATAAAAAAAACTAATCCCAATTCTTTCTTTCTGTAGCTCTACTTTCACAAACTTGGTGAGCCACAGAGTAAAGATCTGTTGATAGTCGAGGTCAGAAGATTTCGAACCTGTTTCTCTGATCGGAGGCTCGTGTCCTGAGAATAAAATTTACTTTTGATCTGGCTCACAGGATCCAGCGAATCCATCCTATATGTGGGGAGCTGAAGTCTCGGATGAGTGGGTGACTTGATTTTATTTAACTGCCACATTCCCGCATCGACTGATATGATCTGTGTTCTTCCAGCGCCAAGTACCTCATCTTGACGACCTCCAAGGATACCGGCCGTTCGAATCGACTCTGGGTTGCCGATCTGACCTCTCAACCCCTATCGAGTGAGATGAAATGGCAAAAGATTGTCAATGAGTTTGGCAACGAGTACATCTTCGCGGCCAATGATGGCAGTCAACTATATTTCATGACCAACAAGGACGCGCCTAAACGCAAGGGTAAGAACTCCACAGCCATCAATCATCGCCACAGAAGTTTTCCATCATACCAACAAGACATTACTTCGTAGTGGTGACGTATGACTTGAGTAAGCCCGAAGAAGGCTTTAAAGACTTGATCCCAGAGGATCCTCAGGCGGTCCTGGAGGGTTATTATCCCACCAACAAAGAATTCACCGTTCTGAGCTATTCTCGAGATGTCAAAGATGAGCTATACCTCCACGAGATCAAGTCGGGCAAGCGGATCAAACGGATCGGCGGAGACTTGATTGGCACGATCGGGGGCCTTTCCGGCCGCCGTAAACACGACGAGTTCTTCTTCCAGATCAGTAGCTTCTTGAGCCCCGGCACGGTCTACCGGTAAGTGATCGGCTGTAACATTTTTTTTTGGTAATGTGTATGGTTGTCCTGATGGCACTCTCCAATTTGCTGGGTTATGGATTTTTCTTTGCCTGGAACCTCTTGCAGCTACCGTTTCGATCGTCAAGAGGATCAGGAATTGGTCGAATTCAGGAAGACTCTGATTCCGGGATTCAATTCCAACGATTTCGTTTCCAAACAGGTATTCTATGAATCAAAGGACGGGACCAAAGTCCCGATGTTTATCGTTCACAAGAAAGACTTCCAGCAGGACGGTACTGCGCCAGCTCTTCAGTACGGATACGTAGGCCCCCCTTTTTTTACATATTCTTTCCATCATCCGGTCAGCTCGCGAAAACCGGACAGCTAAGGTGAACTGTTCTCCAGGGTGGATTTTCGATCAGTATCTCGCCCTACTTTTCGCCCTCTTTCATGAGCTTTGTAGCCCATTATGGAGGGGTATTGGCTGTCCCTAACATCCGAGGGGGTGGAGAGTATGGAGAGGACTGGCACTTGGCAGGCTGGTCAGTACCCTGAATGTTCTCCCTTGAAGGGTGTAAATTGAACGCTAATTGATTCGATGGAATCTCATGGATCGTGGATGGGTACAGCTTTGAGAAAAAACAGAACGTGTTCGACGACTTCCAGTACGCTACCAAATATCTGGTTGCCAATCAGTACGCGGCGCCCGACAAGGTGACCATCATGGGCGGCAGTAACGGAGGTCTCCTGGTGGCAGCCTGCGTGAACCAGGCTCCCGAGCTCTTTGGAGCCGCGCTTGCCGAGGTGGGCGTGTTGGACATGTTGAGGTTCCATCGGTTCACGATTGGGTAAGGGTCACTTTATCCAATCACCGCCATCCTCTCTCTCTCTCCGTTCTCTTGAGCTTGAGCTTACTCTCCCCGCGCCCTGCGTCACGTTTCCAGACGGGCTTGGATCGCTGACTATGGAGACCCAGAAGACCCCGAAGCATTCGACTACTTGATCAAATATTCCCCCTTACATAACGTCAACCCGGCCGCGGAATATCCGGCTCTCATGCTACTCACAGCGGGTCAGTGCCAGACCCATCCCATCTCATCTATCGACACGCCACATGATTATTCTTAGGATCTGTTGGAGCCCCACTACTGATGAGGAGGTTCGAATATCTACAACATATAGACCATGACGATCGGGTGGTCCCTCTGCACAGCTTCAAGTACGCTGCTGCCGTTCAACACGCCCTCCCGACGAACAAACAACCTTGCTTGTTGAGGCTCGATCTCAAGGCAGGTCATGGAGCCGGGAAGAGCACGGAGATGAAGATCAACTCGGTCGTCGACCAACGTCTGTCCTCCAGTCCTTCAACTTCTTCCCCTTGTTTTTGATTGTTTCTTTGGAATACGACTGATCTCTCTCTCTCTCTCTCTCTCTCTTTGTCTTGCGGGCTTTGTAGTCAGCTTCGTCGCTCTCAGTCTCGGCTTGGAGTGGAAGGAATACTCGGGAAAGAAATCGTCGTGTTGATTCGTTCTCGATCTCCATCGTCACCCCCGAAAACATTGATCTCTCCTGTCTCTTCACTCGATCTAATCTGCTCCTATCCCCCGCTCCCTTCCTCCCTCCTTCCCCCACAAACAAACAAAAAGAAACTGAAACAAGTTCATTGATATCAGTCAAGATGTTTATAATAGAAAAATCGGTTGGCGAAGGGGAAAATCCTCTGCTTCGTTGTTTGTTTGCTCTTCTTCCTTAGAGCTTTAGAGTTGATTTGATTTGATCGGTATGAGATGTTCCTTCCTTATATGACTTAATACTAATCGAAAAGAGTAGCAACCCTTTCTTTCAGTCTCCTTTTTTTTTTCTTCTTCTTGTTGGTGGTGAATGTTGTTGTTCTTGTGGCTTAATGTACATAATCATTCACCTTTCCCAATTATTTTTTTTTTTTCATCATGTTTTCTTTGGGGGGGGGGGGGATTGGGCTTAGATACTTGGGTGTCACTGCATTTGTTTTGGGGAGTTCATGGTAGACCAATGTGCTAGCTTGTTCATGGAGTGGAGACTCCCTTCTCCAGAGTTGTTGTAGGTAATCTCTCACTATGTAGGCTTGTCCTCTCATCAAACAGGGACATTTTTTTCTTCTTCTTCTGGAGCAAGCTCAAAAGACATCTTCCTTGGATTCCCATACTGGCCAGGGGAGCAGGATCCTTAATCAAACATAGACTTCCAGATCTCATTCCTTTTTGTATTTTTTTCTTTCAAGTGGGGGGGTTCTGGACACCCGCCAACCCCCTCATGTCACTTCCAACCTATCAGTCACTTCCCTCTTCCTGAATTCTTGAACTGTGAGCCTGCCACATAATTTGCCTGCTACTGCTCAATCTTGAGACTGGATCTATGAATACTTCAATATGATGGTGTGGATCTTTGTAAGACTGGGTCCTATGCACCCATGGATAGCATGGCGGTTCCTCCATAGCCCCTGAAAATACACAAAGGTGGTTCTCAGGTTTTGGTTTCATTAATCCCCATCCATGTAGCTGCTTATTATTGAAAAGAAAAAAAAAGCTGGTGATTGATGTGACAAGCAAGCTCTTATGGAAATCTGTTGATGGTAACATCTAAGGTACTAATCAGTGAGAGATCAGATCATAAGATGTTGAGGACACAGGGTCCACGCAAATCGAGTCACAGTGTCATCAGCATTGTTCAGCCAGTAAGCTATTGACTGGTGAAATGCAACCAGAATATATAAAGAGGCTACTCATGCACAGGCTGAGTTGTGGGTGAAGATAGTAGAAGCAGTCACTAGCTGTCAAAATACTTATCTCAACAACTTCTTGCAAATCAAATCAAGCAACATGCTGCAATCTTGGTTTTGGCTTTTAGTTTACACACATGCCTTAAGAAAGGTCAGTGGGAGTCAGGCTGATATAAGTATCTAATACACTCAAATGTATGTAGAGAAAAGAAAAAAAAAAACTAGTACAGTGGGCAGACAGTGAAAAGTGGCTGCTTATTTTGGATTCCAGAGCTCTGAAACACAGACTCAAAGTCATGAGACTGGGTCAGGTGGTGCATAATAGGTCCCAAAAAATGAATATGAAAAAAAATAAAAATAAAAAATAAAGTTTGAAAATTTGTGAAAAATAAAAAATAAAATTGTTTTTTTTTTTTTTCAAAAGCTTTGATATTCATTTTGGGGGAGTGGGAGTGCTGAGAGAAAGGAAGAATGGAAGATGGGAAGAATGATTGTAAATGAAAATATTGAAAAATTGGTTTGCAGTTGGTTTTAAACAGCTGTTGAGTAGGGCATTCACCAGCTCACATTGCAGTAAAGCACCAGAATTTACTGTTTTGACTACAATATGGACAACAAACCTGGCTGAGCCTTTTTTGGTTCTATTTTTTTTTTTTTTTTTCATTTATAATCATTCTTGTCATGTTCCACTCTTTCCTTCTCTCAGCACTCCCACTCCCCCAAAATGAATAACAAAGCTTTTGGAAAAAAACATTTTTATTTTTTATTTTTCACAAATTTTGAAACTTTGCTTTTTGTTCTTATTTCTTCATATTCATTTTCTGGGACCTATTCTGCACCCCTTCACCAAGTCTTGTGACTTGAGGTTTGTGCTTTGAAGCTGTAGATTCCAAAACAAGCAGCCAAAAATAACGGTCCACCCACTGTACACCTAAGATATCCAATTCTGAAATTCCCCCAAAAAAAAACCTCTGATTCATCCATCTATCCAAAAGGACATTGACTTGTCTATATTCGCATGGGTGTGCTTACCTCAAACTTGAACTGATCAAGGACCTGATTCACTCTGCATTTAAAAGCTCAGCCACTGCATACACAATTGAGCCATGTAATTATAATATGTAGGTTGTCATGAAGGTCTAAAAAATGGAGCAGTGAGCACTCCAAATCTGAAGGAAAATGGGAGATGGCGCTGTGGAGCTGATCCCATGCTTGGTTTCACTCCATCAGGCCCAGACAGATACATGATCAGGTCCCATGATAAAAGACCAGGACAGATTTGATTTTGGAGTTTCTTCTTGTCAGCTGGCATTCATCAAACCTTTTTCAATCTTTCAGAACTTGGCACATAATCAGATGAGATAAGATTACGTTTTTGAGTGTGGGATTTTAGAGATGCTCCTGCTGAGGCCTTGACGGTACCCTTGATATTAGTGGTTACTTGGGTCTTTGGACATATCTTGGCAATTGAAGTGATAGTATTCATAGGGGAGCTCTCTGACACATTTTGATTGAGTCTCATCATCTAAGGGCCTTTAAATAGTGCGTGTAAATGTTGCATCATTGAATCTAACTCCTAATGATGCACCATTAACAGGCCCTCCTAGATTTTTTTCTACCTCTGCAGATTGGGTACCAAGTCTGACTGTTAGTTTACACCTTAAGAAGCTTGGGGTCAACCTTGAGGCTTGGCCAACTATGTAGCTGCACTTCACCCTCTTCTGATCCCTAAGTCTCTGAATCCTCTCCACAGGATACTAGGACCCAGGCAACCCCCTATATAGGTGGCTAACCAAAATGTAGGAATTTCTGGCCAAAGATTCAAAATGATACACACCAAAAATGTATGAATGGCCTTTTTATCCTCATAGGGTACTAACCTAGAGTGTATGAATGATGTACAATTATCAAAATTTTGCCAAATTCTCCTTCTCTTCTTGGGTTTTTTGCGGTTTCCTGTGTGAATTTGATGGATGCAACTTGTTAAACACCTCAAAAAGGCGAAAAGCTAACTTTTGGCAGCAAAAAAGGCAAAAGGCAAGTTTGAGCTTGCTGGACAATCTGGAGGATTGGAATTTATAGTGCTCTGCACCCCCCCCCCCCTCAGCAGGAGGGTAGACACGAAACGTGTATGAATGACTTTCAGAAATGTAGGAATTTTGGCAAAATGTTGGATTTTTGGTTAGGCACCTCTATCGGGGGTTGCCTGGGTCCTAGGATACTCCACCCTCGGCCCCAGTATTTGGTCAAACAGCAACACTAAAGTTCAAAAAGCCTCTGTATCATCTGCAAGGAAATTCAGAATCACAGCATCTACATAATACAGCTATTTCGGAAAGGGTTGTCCAGTTGTCTCTCAAATTTTTTTTTTTTTTTTTTGAAATTTTTTAAATTTTTCTTTGTACTGAACTACAGCCGAGGAGGTACAGCTGTCATCGATAGTTCAGTTCTGACAGGTCCAGTTCAGTAAAAAAATAAAAAATAAAAAAAATAAAAAAATAAAAAAGATTTCGCGAGTCCAAGTGGACAACCCTTTCCGAAATAGCTGTAAGATTTGATCTTATTTTCTACCGCTCATCATCAATGGTCAAGTGTGATAGAATTCAAAAGTGGCAAAAATCATTCTCAAGTTGAAATGCATGTTAAGATGAAGTACACAGTCATATTTTCTTCAACACTCTAGTCTCTCGCTAAAAATTGCTGGGTGATCATGTAGATCTAGCTGTAGCATGTTACATAACCTTTTCTTCTTCGTGATCAGCCCCCCCCCCCTCATTTCTCCTCATGAATCAATCTTTTCTCTGCTCCCCACTGGATCCTATTTTTTATTCGAATTCTTGATAGCTATAAGGTGAGAATGTATGCCCTGCCCCGATAGCGTCTCGCGGGGACACCGGGGAGCCTTCGGGCCATCCTGATCCAGAGGTTTATGAAGTCCCACAAGCTTGTGCAAAGCTGGGTCTGTAAATAATTGAGCATGGTATGTGTGAATTGAGCTCACTCTGATGTGGCTGCAGTTCATGGGTGGCTTGAAAGTTGAAGCTGATGTGGGGTGATGGAAGAAGAACTGATCTGTCGGGGTTTCGATTCAGTAGAAGTTTTGTTTGTAGATGTGTTTGAGAAGAGCCGATTGTCTGTTGGGGGAGATGGAGAGAGGATGTTACAGACTCCGCAGACTGGCAGCCTGATGCTCAGCAGCCTCCTCACCACCAGACGCACCATCTCATCCATGGCAGCACTACAGCAGCCCAGCCGACACCGATTCCCCCCACCGAATAACATCCAACGACTACCACTCAGACCAGACGGTCAACAAGAGCCAATCAAACTCACCGAGGCAATCAAACAACAGTTCAAGCAATCCATCCCTCTACTTGCCGCACGAGTACCGTCACCCTCAATCACCAAATTCAAAACTAACCCAGAAATCAGAAAGTGGGTCTCGTTCTCCTCTTCTTCAACTCTCTGCCCCCTTGTCTGACTAACCTTTCACAGAGCCCTACTGAACTCCAAAAACTTGAGATCCGTCGAACCCGACCCGGACTCAACCGACAACGCCTTCAAACTATTACTCCTCAATACCCCCCACAAAGGTTGCATCCTCTCCGTCAATTATCTCACAAAAGAAGAAATTATAGTTCATCTAAACTTTTTTTCTTCTCCTTTCCAAATTTGGATACAGATCAGATTCCAGAATCAACGCTCAAAGTCTTCCAAGAACATGATATTCAAATCAAGAATACCAAGCTCGATCTTGACTGGGAATACTGGATGGCAGGTAAAAAAATCACACTTTCATGGATATTTGGCTCAAAAGCTTGAAACTGAGAACAATACTTCATGTGGTTGTAAAAAAAAAAAAAACAGATGAAATTATCGAAAGACTTTTGCCCGATCAGTTGACCGATATCCCAGCTTCATTCACTATGATCGGCCACATTGCTCACTTCAACCTAAGAGATGAATATTTACCATACAAGTATCTGATCGGCCAAGTGATCCTAGAAGTAATTTTTTTTTCTCTCTTTTTCTCTTGATGAAAGATTGATACTGATTCGAATATTGGATTTCCCTCAATGGTCAATCGAAAAAGAAAAATTTAGCAATCAAAACGGTTGTCAACAAGATTGATAATATCAATTCTCAGTTCCGGTTCTTCGAGATGGAGCTATTGGCTGGAGAGCCTGATTATACGGTCACCCTGGTATGTGAAGAGACCATCTACGATTCCATACACATCTCTGATTGGGGGTGGATTGCGGATCACAGTGGCAGAGTGGGTGTCGGTATCGGTTCGATTTTTCGAAGGTATATTATAACCCAAGGCTATCGACGGAGCATGATCTACTCAGCTCGATGATCGAGAAGGATGAAGTAGTTGTGGATGCGTTTGCGGGAGTGGGCCCGTTTGCGATGCGGGCGGCGGCGAACCGGAAGGCGTGGGTGTTGGCGAGTGACCTCAACCCGGCCTCGGTCGAGGCCCTGGAGACTAATGTCAGGCTCAACAAGCTCCAAGGACGGGTCGCAGTATCCGGAGGGGATGGCAGAGAGAAGATCAGGGAGGCCGTCCGGACCCTGTGGCTTGATAAACCCTTCAAGACTCCCAATTCCTCTCCGCTCTTGCCCGATCACTTCATCATCAACCTGCCTGACTCTTCCATTCAGTTCCTCGACGCCTTCAGAGATCTCTATCATCCTCTGAGTGACTCGGAAGGCTTCCTGAATGCCGTTAAGAAGAAATCTAGATTGCCATTACTGCATTGTTACTGCTTCACCAAACAAGTAGACGAACCTGAAAGTGATATCTGTCAAGTAAGTTCTCTCTCTTTTTTTGTTTGGTTTGATTCTCTTGATCGATTATGATTTCTGATTTGTGTTTTTTTCTGGACTTTGGTAGAGGGTGAGTGAAGTGATGAAAGTTGAGATCAGTCCATCTACCGTCGCTCGGTTCGAGCTCAAATTTGTCCGGGCAGTCGCGCCGCATAAAGATATGTACCGGATCACGTTCGAGCTGCCCTTGAAGCTCTTGTTCTCTTCTTCTTCAGAGGAATCGCGTGCTTGATCCCACCTCCTCTTTCGATTCTCTGCTGGTTTACATGCCCCCCCCCTCCGGCCGTTATGTTTGCATACATACTGTGGAAAGAAACCAAAAATACCAATTATAAAGACCATCAATTCACCAGATTGTTTGTAATTTTAAATGAGGGTCTTCATCGGGTTCTCTCTCTCTCTCTTGGAAGGAAAATGCATTGGAGGTGAAAAGAATCTCAAGTCAACCTATGAACAAATAACATGATCTTTTCATCACAGAAAAGATTTCCGACTCACCATGTATATATCATCTCCACCAAATCCTAACTAGAGATGGCCCCGGTGCATCCCTGACTTAACTAAGCCTCCCAGGACTGGGGGTGCAGAGCATCTCCCATTCCCAATGGGAGGCTTATGAGTTATTCTGGCTTTCCTGCTTGAGAGCTTCCAAAAATGTGTGGCTTTTGGACAAAAATTTGGATTGGATCCTAGAACATAAAGCGAATGTCGACAGAATTATTGCCAAAGACGGTTTCCTTGTGGGTTTTTGATACGACTTGATCATCAGGCAGAATGCTTTCTCCTACCAAGTAGAGATAAAGGAACATCTGCAGTAGATATATCCATCTTTAGAAAGGATCTCAAGAGGGAAGCCTGGAAAGTAACCAGAAATCTTGATGAACTCGAATTCTCAGATAATCCATACGCAAAAGATGGCCCTAAGTTTAACTTCGATCTGAAGACCGGAAAGCCTAAAGTCTCTAAAGGTAAGAACACCGACAATCCATCTCATCACTTTGATAATCGAGGAACAAGGGGATGTGGCAATTTTGGAAAGGATCAGAGAGATTTCATCAAGAAAGACGTAACTCAGACTATGGTAACTATTGTGACGAAACAAACGGATACAATCATTTGGGAGGCTTCAACAAACAACCAAGAGACTTTTATCAAAATGAAGATTACACCCAAGGAAGACAGGATTATCCAACTCATCGGGGGGGTTACAACCAACACGGAGGTTATGGAAAAGAGAAGCCTGGTTATGGGAGGGGAGGTTCTTCAAAAGTGTCAGGAAGACATGAAAACCCCAAGGGGAAAGAAAAAGATAATTTGTAGGCAACATATTCAGTTGTCATCAGTCTTGAAATTATAGAGAAAACTTTCCTATTATTCATGTTACTCCGCTTTTGTGATTTCTTTTGATGATTAGAGCCTGTTTCTTATCATCTGACAATTGTCAAACTGGAGAGACTCCTGTGCCATTGCATGAATTTTCTGAGAGTAATGATACTGGTGTGCAAACACTAGATTGGCCGACAAGAGTGAAATGTGAAATGAATATACAGGCTTGGAAATTAGCGTTGACGCAACACGGTTTGCTCCCTGAATATAATGATGTGCTCCACGGATTTGAAGTTGGTTTAGACCAGGGCATACCTCAACACGCGATACAAGGTTTGAGGTATTACACACCAGACAACCATAAATCATCTGAAAAATTCAGAAGTAAAGTGGAAGATTCGATTAAGAAAGAAATACAAGTGAGGTGAATGTTCGGCCTGTTCACTCTAAGCGAAGTAATGATGAAATTTGATTTCTTCCGGTCAAATCCCTTGGGGACAGTGCTATCAGACCAATAAATGATTTATCATTTCCGAGATACGACCCGGTTGTGCAGTCAGTGAACTCTATTGTCAACAAACACGATTTTGAAACCACCTGGGACAATTTTTGTATAGTTTCAGACTTCTTTGCAAAAGACGCTGTGGTAGTTATTCCTGTGTTTCTACGCCAAAAATATAAAAATTTATTCTCATCTATTTCTACAGCAGAAATAAGGTAAAAGAAACATCAAAAATGGATTCTTGAGGTAAAATAACCCCTGGTCACCCACTACAACTACCCTCTTATCTCTATTATTTCAGAAGTTACACCTATTTCAACCTATCACAGGATATCTCTTGGATTCCTTACTCTGACTATAGCTCAATTTGCATACTGGATGCATAGTGGATATTGAGTTCCTTTTTCATATTGAATTCCTTTACTAGCTCATATTACATATTGAATTCCTTTGCTGGTGCACATGCATTCCTTTGTAGCAGGACCCCGCAGGCCAGCCAAAATCCCTCAAGGCTGTGCTATCACTAGCTAAATTCCCTCACCTGCATGTACTAGACTAGCCAAATTCCCTCATTGGATATTCAGGCCAGCTAAATTCCCTCACCTGCATGTACCCTGGAGCTAAATTCCCTCACTTTTGTCTATATAAGGAGGCCTCTGCCTGCCAGTTGTATTCCCTCCTCATCAGATGCTCTGTAGTCGGTCCCCCCCCCATAACACTACATCACTGGTCACTCTTCAATATTATCAGCTACCTAGTATTGAGGTTTTACAATCATAACCCCCCTTATATATATTACAACAGTTTTTTATAGTGTAGAAATATCAACATCACTTTTTTCATAACCACTCAGCTATCTCACCTTTGCCTGAAATCCACTGCTTTTTTTGCTTCATACACCCCAACCACAAGGACCTGGGTTCAATTCCCATTCAAGACATCCACCTTAACTCCACCTTAACTCCACTTTAACTCCACTTTAACTCCACCTTAACTCCACTTTAACTCCACCTTAACTCCACTTTAACTCCACCTTAACTCCACCTGTGCCTGGTCCTCCGTTCCATTCCTGGTTGAAGCATAGTTCTCCCATCGACTGCGCCTTGGTTCTCAATCACTCTTTTTAACTTTATATACCATCAACCTTGAGGTTGCACGTTCAAGCCTCACTCTCAACAATATTACCATCACCACTTCTACCAACAATAATCTCATCAGCAATCACCATCAACTTGAACGGTTATACGAATCATTCAACAGCTTCATCTCAAACCATCCTCCATCACAATAAATATAACTGCCCAGCTAAGCTTGGTGGTCTTGTTGTTCTGATAGCATAGAAGGGCAGAGCTTGCAACTCCACCATCCCCTTCTCCATTCAGCAATTGAGGACAACCTGTAAAAGTGGGGGAGGGGTTTGGGATAGTATTGGAAAATAAAAAGAATCAAGAATCAAGTAAACTAAAATGAACTAACAAGAGACTAGTTTTTGGATTTTGTAGATTATAAATTTTTTTGGGGGGGTTTTATAAAAATTATCTAGCGATTTTTTTGGCTTTAGGAAAATTTTACCCCTTTACAGACTGCGTTCAAACTAGGAAGAAGACTTTACTCTAGGACCACAAACACAATCAAACACTCATAATTAGCAAATACGTATATAGAACTGTGAAAAGAATAAGAATAAAACTTACCCAAGTGACAAAAGTGACGCCTAAGTGACATATAACTACGGTTGAGGAACTTGAAGTGGCTGACCCGATGGGCCTGATCACGAGGACACAAAGGGCGCTCGGCATTACAGTAGGCTACAAACCCACTAGCGGCCGACTGATAGAACACAGTAAACTCTCGAGGCACATACCGATCAAACCTTGCTGGATCCGCTGAACGACTAAGGAGGGAATCAATCTGATGATCCCTCAGGAGATGGAACTTGTCAACGTCGTAGAATCCAGGAGGATCAGGCGAGGCAACACAATGTTGACACACAAACGGATAGGACTGATTACTGGAGGCGGTGTGCTGACTGGAAGAAGATTCTAAATCATCTTCATCTGAGACTGCCGACTCTTCTTGAGAGGCAGAAGTCAAAGTAGGAGGCGCGATGTGGACAGCGGAACGGACATTGCTGGGCGTACTCAGGTTTTGTGGACGTGGAGCCTGCGGGAGTGTCCACGGTTCCTCAATGACTGTGCGGTTGGAACTAAGAAGCTAGAATCAGAAAACAAGAATACAACCCCACACTCATTAGTAAAATGCATCAAGAATGTGTACAGAATGTAAATAAAAGAAGAAACAACCTACCAACAATAAGTGATTCAACAACAATTCTGCAACCTCGAAAGAACAACAAGCCACCGGAGAACCCAAGGAACCTCGGCTGTTCGAAGCCGGACGACACCACTCGGAAGTAGCCTGAGGTGGGAACGGCGGATTTGGGTCAAGCAGGGGGGTAGGACAGTGCTGATACGGAGGTGAAGCTCCACCTCAATCTTGAGGATGGAGCCCCACCAACCCTGGAGGCACCCAATCAGCTCTAGAGGCTTGGGTGGCTTTGGGAGAAACCGGCCGCGTGATTGTCTGCGGATCAGCCAATGGAGACAGGGCAGACCCTTGAGAATCAAGCTCAATGGGGAAGCCAGATGCCTGGCCCTGGAACCCAGAAACAAAGCAACAGCCAGAAAGCCTTTAGCTACAGGCCTACAAGCCTCATCTATAATATAAAGAGTCACTTACTCTGACTGACGATGGCGGCACAATTGGTGACGCGTTCAGAATCGGAGGACGAGACAACTCTCGAGAGTCCAATTGAATAGGCGAGCCCAGAACTTGACCCTGCAGAAGACATCACCAGCAAATCAGAAAGAAAAATTGGTGGCTGGTATTAGCAACTACAAACAAGGACGGTGTGCTTACCCTCTCTAAAGGACTAGAAGGGACCGGACAGTTCATCCGGGAATGGATGGGGTAAAGATTGGAGGCTCTAGGGCCGGGTGTGTGTTTGTTGAAACGGGGCATGGCTGAGTGGCTGGGTAGTTTGATAAGCTTTCTGATGGATGAGGAAAAAAAATCGACAATCACGGTGGCTCTTTTATAATCTGGATAGAGCCAATCCTCCCAACCTACAACTCACTGGTATTGTTGCTTACACCTGTGGGCCAGCTGACAAACGAAAGAAGGCTCAAAGGACAAACGTGTACCTCTCTCGAAGGAGGCTGGACCCGGGTGATGAAATTTTATGGCATGAGCTGAGAAGGGGAAGAAGTGGCCGGCAACAAAAAAACTCTGACGAGAGAAAGAACATGGTCGAGAAGCCCTCTTTGAGGGCTTTATAGGCTGCTAGCTTGTGGGTCGGAAAAGCCATCCCACCACAAGAGGTTGTATGAGTGACCTCAGGGAACAGACACAGAAGAACTGATGGATTTTCATATTCAAACTCATGGTATGGCTAATTTATCTACATACAAATATTGGTTGAGTTGTGGGACAGAAGTTGAAAAGAGTGCATATTCATCTGGAAAGGAAAGGAGTGACATTGGTGTGAAAGGGAGGAAAGAAGGAGAGATGAGAGAGAGACAACAGAATTCCAACACCCCCCCCCCCAACTGATGGACCACAGAACCTACAATCAATATTCAGCATTGATGTTAAGTTTCTTGAATTCGGGGTTTGCTAGCATTGCTTGAAAGTTTTGTTTGCTTTCGACTTGATCAGGAGTGAAGCCGTGAGGAGCAGTGAACGCAAGATGAGCCTGAGCTGTTGCGGGGGGTTTTGAAACGGATGAAGCAGCTGAAGACTTTGATGGACAACGATCAGGATGCTTTTCAAAACAGATCGATTCCCAATGACCAGCTTTGTCACAGTGGTAGCTGTCAGCCTTAGAGATACTCCAGAGTATCCAAAAGACTGCTAAATGAATATTAAGTATTAAAATACTCCACATGTAATATAATATGTAGTAATATTATTTAATAAAACAATATTTCATAAGATTATAAAGGGGGTTGTCCACTGGAAGTATCCCCAAATTCCCCACTCCTTCAAGGACTTTGTATATATTCAAAACTCTTGAAGGACAAAAGGAATAAAAATATAAAATTACAGAATAAAATTAATGTATATTAAATTAGGGTTAAATATACATTTAGGGTAACCTTAGAAATTTTATTCTACAAGCATAATCAATTTATTAAAACTTGTAGAAAAGAAATTACCACACTATGTCAAGAGTGTGGCACTTTCTACTAGTAGTATTCTATTTAAGGAGACACATGATGTAATTGGCTATAAACATGCATCATGATGTCATGGGACATAGAATATACATTATTTGAAATACCTTGAATTATTCCCATTACATCAGGGGAATAATTCTACCATGATACACTAAAAGAGAGATTCTAGAATATTCTAAGGAGGGCCTCAAGGGGACCTCTAGAATATTTAAGGAGGCCTTCTCCTGCCTAGGATTGGTTCCTCAGCATATTCACCCCCAACAAACTAAGTGAGTACAGTGAATATTCTCCACCTACTTTTAGAGTAGTCTTTTTTATCATCCAATCCAACCCTACCTTCTTACTGGAATTATTATTAAGCTGAGAGTTATCCCAGACTCAACACTTAATTAATTCCTTAAAAAGTAGTTGCTGCAAGACCACCACCTCTGACTGTAGCCTTTCAGCTCAGGTGCTTGCCAGCTGCTTCTTGCAATATTAATTATTGCTTCCAAACACTCTACAATAACTTTTCTGTTATTGTCTCCTACAGTGCTCTCTTGATTATTCAAGTGTCTTTAACTGAGGAGTGTGGACTTTATAACCTCTTAAGTGGGAAGTTTGGACCACTTAATACTTTGAGGGTGACTAGGAGTAATCTTGGTCTTTAACCTGAGTCCTTCAGCACAGTGATAGTACTTGGCTTTTATATTATTAAGCCAAAGTTTCATACACATAGCTGACAGTAGCAGATAGTGAATCCCTTCTTGCAATAGGGGCAGAGATAGTACTTGTCATTGGTGGTCAGAAGCGCTTGTGGAGAGGGAATCAACGAGGAGCGGTCGAGGTGGTTTTGAGCTGTGTGTCATTTGAGTCGGTTCAACATCATGGCTACGGTATTGGATGAGCAGCCAATGCTGGGAACTGTCCTGAGCGATTGAAAATCCAAAGGGAGCTTTCGGAGAATGATTGCGTTCTTGAGTTGATCATCGAGACCAATCTTGGAGGAGACTAATCGTTGATTGGCTGCGCAAACTTCACGGATGAAGTCAGTGATCGATCCGTGATAGTCTAGATTGAGAAACTTCTCGAGCGCGAAATCCTTTGCGACATAGTTGTTGCCTGCATACTTTTTCTTCAATATCTGCCAGACAATCAGAAAGCAGGATCCAGCTCTGGCTGGTGGACCAAGGCCAGCCAGAGCTTCTACAAGTGGAAGAACTGTCAGCAACCCACACATCTCTTTTGGGGCCTGTTCAATGAGATAGTGCAAGAGCATCAGTGTAAGAAAGACACACCAAAATGAAAAAGAAGAGTCACTTACTGTCGTAGGAAAATCCGATCAAAGAAACGAAGAACGGTGAATACGGTGGCAGTGGGGAACTGAGGGAATGTAGACCGGCTGGTTTACAGGACCTACCTGCTCCCCAGGGCCCAGGATATCCTAGTTCCAGATTAGAACGGCGCACGCAGAACAAAGCACCGGCGAACCCGCGCTCTCAACTGCAGCCGCATCTCTTCTCTCAACCTCCTGCAACCCAAATCAAAACTTGACCCCTGAACGTTCAGAAAACCCCTTGGGCCCCTCCCAAGGGGCTTTGCAGGTAAACCAGGCTACCCAGCTACTCTATGTCAACAGAGAGGTCACCCCAGACATCCAATGATACACAGCTGCGCACAACACAGTAAAAATAAAAATTTGTATGTAAATAAGATAAAATAAAATAAAAATAAAATAAAGGGCCTTAATAAAAAAACCCGCATTTTCCGCGTTTTGACGCGGTTTCTGCTGCGCGCAGCACACACGCATTCCGCTTTTAAACCCGCTTTTTCAATTAATTTTTTACCGCTTATTTTTTGAGTTTTTTTGAATTTTTAAAATTGTTTCCTAGGTTTCAAAGCGCATAGAATTTAATGGTAAAAACCATTTTCAATAAAAATGAATTTTGATTATTAATTATTTTTTTTCACTCATTTCTCAATTAATTGTTTGCAAACATGTTTGTACCTTATTTTTTAGCCTTTTTTGAAATTTTAAAATTATTTCCTAGGTTTTAATGTGCGTAGAATTTAATGGTGCAATCCAATTTTTTTAAAACTCTACGGTTCATTTTTAATACTGAAATTAGCCCCATTTTTTGACTTAATTTTTTACAGCTTAATTCTCATCATTTTTTGACATTTTAAATTTATTTCCAACACTTTAAGGCATGTAGAAAATGATGGTATCAAAAAATTTTCCCCAAAACGAAAAATACATCTTGAATACTGCATTTGACACCGTTTTTTAATTGAATTATTCACTTTTTCACTCAATTGTTTGTGTTAGTTTTTTTACCTTATATTTTATGCTTTTTTGAAATTTTAAGGTTGTTTCCTACATTTAAATGTGTGTAAAATTTAATGGTAACATTCAATTCCCATAAAAATCAACGGTTCATTCTGAATACTGTAATTGGTCTTAAAATTCAATTGATTTTTAAGAGCTTGATTTTCATTATTTTTTGACATTTTAAATTCATTTCCCACACTTTGAGACATGTTAAAAATGATGGTAAAAATAATTTTGCATCAAAATGAAAACTATATCTTGAATAATGCCTTTGATGTGTTTCCTTAATTAATTCTTACACACTTAATTATCCTTATTTTTTGGAATTTCCAGCTCATTTCCTACACTTTTAAAGGTTTCAAAATTGTTGGTTGTATCCATTTTTCATTCAAATAAAATTTGTATACGTTACAAATTGTGCAAGAAATGGGGTACACTCATGTATTAAGATTGAAGCTTGTATTTGTAGGGAAATTGGACTTCACCATTCAATTTTACACATTTTTAAATGGAGGAAATGAATTTAAAATTTCAAAAAATGATTAAAAACCAGCCGGTAACAAGCAATTGACAAAACATTAAAAAAAACATGTCCAACGCAGTATTCAATAACATTATTTGGTTTTTATGAAAAATGGTAGTTACCATCATTTTAATCGTGTCTAAAAGTGTGGGAAACAAATTTAAAATGTCAAAAAATAATGAAAATTAAGCTCTTGAAAATCAATTGAAAAATATGACTAATTACAGTATTCAGAATGAACCGTTGAGTTTTAAGAAAATTGGATGTTACCATTAAATTCTACAAACTTTCAAATGTAGGAAGCAACTTTAAAACTTCAAAAAAGCATAAAAAATAAGGTACACACATGTATGCAAACAATTAAGTGAAAAAGTGATGAATTAATTAAAAAAACGGTGTCAAATGCAGCATTCAAGGTATAGTTTTCAATTTGGGGAAAAATGGTTGTTACCATAATTTTCTACATGTCTTAAAGTGTAGGAAGAAAATTTGAAACATCAAAAATTAATGAAAATTAAGCTGTAAAAAATTAGGGCCTTAATAAAAAAACCCGCATTTTCCGCGTTTTGACGCGGTTTCTGCTGCGCGCAGCACACACGCATTCTGCTTTTAAACCCGCTTTTTTAATTAATTTTTTACCACTTATTTTTTGAGTTTTTTTGAATTTTTAAAATTGTTTCCTATGTTTTAAAGCGTGTAGAATTTAATGGTAAAAACCATTTTCAATAAAAATGAATTTTGATTATTAATTATTTTTTTTCACTCATTTCTCAATTAATTGTTTGCAAACATGTTTGTACCTTATTTTTTATGCTTTTTTGAAATTTTAAAATTATTTCCTAGGTTTTAATGTGCGTAGAATTTAATGGTGCAATCCAATTTTTTTAAAACTCTACGGTTCATTTTTAATACTGAAATTAGCCCCATTTTTTGACTTAATTTTTTACAG